TTGCGATTCTGTTCTTGCTACAGTCATCACAATAAGTTGTCCGCTGGCTGTACTGTTGCACATCGCCAAACTTACCCTCCAACTTCAGAGGTTAGATCTAAGTCTATCTGAGGGCTGATAGTCTGCAACCTTGATACCGGTTGAATCTGGAAAATAATTCACTTCGCTTCCATCGCTGTCAGGCAGCCAGCGTCGTCGCATCGTCGCTTGGAGGTAAGAATTTGCAACAGTTAGATGTGAAGAAACTGATGCATGTTTAAGCTCATTACAAGTACTGCTAAGTCGTCTGAAGAGGAAGGAAACGCGTGCACACTAATGTATTTGTCATCAAAAGTCATTTATTTGGACTATTCTTTTGACCAGATTATCACATTTCACTCCTTCATTCGTACTTCTCATCCAGACTGTCACATTCGATAATCAGATTTAGCAAATGTCACTCATCGGAAAAATCGCCTTATTCAAAAAACACTTTACTGTAAAGCAAAACTGCCTCGAATTTACAACTCTGAAATCGAATTATGTCTAACCTGTAGTTTGGCGTCCAGTTCCGCATCAGAGGCGACTAGGTGGTCGTCGACCCTTTTACCAAGTTTCGACATGAGCACCTGTTTGGCCGTCCAATACTGTTGGCGCACCTTGGACATGGCAGTATCATCATAGCGATCGGCGTATCGATCGTACTCAGAGCCGGAATATGAACTGAAAAGGTTCTCGCATGAGACGACTTCTTCATGCACAAGTTTGTACATGATAATTTTTAAGTGAAGTCCGAGATTAATATGAACATTTGCATATAATCTCTGGTTATACTTTGTGCTCGAAAAATATGAAACAAAAAACATACAAAGCACTATCGAACGGCTATTCAGAATTATATAAAGTAGGCTAATGCAAATAAGAGACGGAAGCTGTTGCATGTTTTGCATGTTCCTTAGTGATTCTGATATCTGTACCAGAACAGATTTTTAGACATGGGCGGTGTGTTAAATAGTTCAATCGTAGTCGCACAAAGCGGCTCAAACAATCCATACAAGGGCTCGATCTTTTGTCTCAGTTTGCAACAGCGCAAAATACTGGACGATTAGTGTCTCTTCATTTATGCTTGTGATCTTCGCTTATATTGCTGGTAGCATCCGTAAAACCATGAATGTTTAAGGCATTACCGCTGTATTTGGAAGGGCAAGGTATAGTGCTCAATAAATGAGTGCATCCAGCAAAGTTTATTTTTGTTCACCAATAAAACTTAATGACTGTTTGCTTTAAAGGTAACAACACTGTGCAGTAGATCATAAAATTCGATCTTATGGGATGAAATCTATACTTCTGTTAGTGAAACTGCATAATGAGGACCAGTTCTTGAGATATCGCTCTTGGTCACCAACACTGATCATATCAGCATCTATTACTGCAATTATTCAAAGGCAATGGGACTGTTACTTGAATAAATCATTTCCTTAAATATCTAGGACCAAAGGCATTACGAGATACATTGATAAACCCGACAATGAAGCACTTAAGGAACATATTAAGATTATTTAAAACATGACTGTTTCTGAAAAAAGCGCTGTATGAATTATGACGATTCGGCGCTGATCGATAGTTATTAACGCGCAGTCCTGTTTCCGCAAGTTTCAATCTATACCACTGGACTGCGCGTCTTACTTTTAACGCATGCCTTGCTAACAGATAACTTCTCATAGTATGTACAATGGAGGGTTGAATCTAACACTTGATGCAAGCGACCACTGTCCAATGGCATAAATTGAAACTAGCAGCCACAAGACAGAACGTCAACAACTATTGCTGATAGGCGTCAAACGGCACGAGCCCAAACGTGCGCCAGCCAAACCGCAGCGCCGAATCGTCGCATTCCGTAGGTATTGCGATGTTGATTGCCCACAGTAGAAACGTTGGTGTATTAAATGCTTATGCTTTGTAGTATTGTCATCCTGTTAATTATGGAATCAAAAGATGTGTGCTTCCTGTCTTCTTTTTCGCCAAATAGGTTTGGTCCGAAAATTTCCAAGCAAAAACCTGAAAGGCACAAAACCTATGAGAGGGATGCTCCTCGCCTATGTTTAGGTAGATGGCCGAATCAGCTATCTCTGATGCTCACGAAACTCATCAGAACGTTGTGTTTCAACCTGAAGTGTTCTGACGTCAAACTCTCGCTCCTCCGTCGCAAAGCATTTGCTCACCCAGTAACCTGTGAAAGTGCATAAAAATATACAGCTAGCAATGCAATAATCTTCTGGCGCTGCAGCATGAGTCTGAAACTTGGAGGAAGTGACGAAGGTCGATGCCATCAGATCATGCACACAATAAATCAGCGACTGTTAGTCAACAATAAGAGCATGGTTTCATCTGCAGTGCGACTTTCGGCTGAACTGCTTCATCAGTCTTTCATGACTGAAACAATATTAATTCCAAGAAATATATTGTTAGGTCGTGTGGCAAAACTAAGTCTAGGGGCTGTTGCTCGCAACACCCTCTAGATGCTGTAAATATTGGAAGTTGGGTCACACCATCATCGTTTTGATGGTGTCCAAATTACAGATGAACGAATTGCTTTATTGAAGCAGACTCACTGATTACGAAACGGTGTGATACTGCCATGGCTAAGTAAGAAGGTGACAGACCAGAAGCGCCCAGCAGCAAATGCACAGTATATTAATACATTTTGAATTTCTAAATAAATATTGCATATGCAAATGTCAGTCTAGGCAAACATAATTAACAAATATTTTGAGATTTTAAGTGATTTTATTTTATGATTTTATTTTATAATGCCACTACGTTATAAATCTCACGTTATGCGAGTGTTTCGGCTGAAGACTAGGCATATAAAATAACGTGAAATCTTGAATGCAACGGCAATTTATGGACCGACTGTACAAATATCGACATTTGTATTTCTGCTAATTATATTTTTGTAGACTAAAATAGATTTTTATATGCAGCGCTTAATTTCAAAATTTGAAAGCGTTTAAGCACGTGTTTGTCGAAAACAAAATTTACCGGCTAAATTATCGTAATGTAGTGCGCTTTATTTATGACTGATGATAATATCTTACTCTCAACTGCAGATGTGAAACTATGTCAGTGGACCCGGCATATCAGGGGCATAGAGCATATGATTTTTCAAAATTCGTAATTATTTCCATTCAGACCTAGGGTGAATACTTGAATTTCACAGCAAAGATGGGCGTAAAATTTAATGTTTCATAAAAGATGGCGCAAAATAACTAGCATTTTTCCTCAAAGACGATATGACAATGACTCAGACGAAACTTACTTTAAAGCTGGAACTGAAAAATGTACTAAATCAATAAAGCATAAATAAATTATTGGACGCAGTCGTAGTCCGACTGAACAAAAATTTCCTATCTGGAAAACATTTATGACTTTTAAAAATTTCTCTACAGTAATTTTACAAGAGAGCGTTACCAACACTGGATATACTCAGCATTTTCGCTATGCCTGACAGCAAATTTGTGGCAATATTTCTGCGACTGACCTTGAGAAAATAAAATCAAACGCGTGATCAAATAAACAATTGCAAGTTTCAGCGAGCAAAGTCCTACAGTGTAATGAGTGCAACATTTTTACAGATACATGGACATTGTGGGAACTAATCAATACTCTCACTGAGCACGCGTGATGGTATTTAGGGCTGCGGGTGATCTCTTGTGCAAAAATATTTTCTCTTTTGGTCAAACAATGCAGTTGAACGGCCCGTATATTTTTCAATACTATTCGTATGACTATTAGTAGGTCAACAATTGTAGCATCAAAAAGATAAGCCATTCATTAAGTTGTTGCGTAGTAGTAAGATGTTTAAAAAATATTTAGTGTCTACACTACAATAATAATGTATCATCATAACCCGCTGTCCTATCGCAAGCATTTCCTGTCATCAACTGACCAAAACAATACAGTGCTTCTTTGCAGTGATATTTCAGGTTTCGGTACTACGCCTCATTTTATAAGATCAACGTGATCGTTCAGTAAGCATTACATCCTTAGAACAGGGCTTACATTCCGGTACTGCAACCTTTCCTTCCTCATAGATGTCAAGGAAGCTACTTAAGGGATTCAAGTCATCATGGCACTGAGCATCTTTCATCGTTTTTATTGGTAAAAACAATAATTTGTTCGTTACAAGGATATATTCGAAGACAGTCATTATAAGAGTCACAGCTTAATAAAGCGGGTTCAAACGTTGGTGATACGTAATTACGCCTAGCTCAACAAAAACCAGGTCACGTCTGACGTTCCATTTACACCAACAGAACACGATAAGTGTGGGTTGTGCTGTTCAAGTTCTTTCAGAGGTGATGATGAGGCAACAGCAGCACCTATAACATTGCCCTAGTAATCTTAGGTACTTACGCTCATCTAAGCAAGCAGACCACGTCTTGGTCGTATCAGAGTACCCACAGTACAAATTATGCATAGTATCACGTTGATTAATGTCCCCCCCAAATCAGAATCTTTACTTTCATAAATCAATAAACAGAAAAACAGGAAATTGAAAAGAAAAACTGAGGTTACCTTGGATGCATGATTCCGCTTCAGCTTCCAAACTGTCAATTCATTCTATTCGTTCACCGTAAACAGATTCTATGAAAATAAGCACCTGTGAGTTTGAAAAACGCGCGTAAAAAAGGAAAGCAAATAATATTTAATGCCAACTCACACGCTAGTCATCCTGTTTCTAAACAAGACGGTACAATCAAAGATCAAAAAGCAAAAAATGCTGATACACTAAGCATTGAGCAAATTTTCTGCTCATACCACAAAAAAACACCTTCGTCTTTAAAAGATGAAATCCTTAGCGCCGCTGATTGTTTAGATACAACAACTAATTCCTGAGAATTGAGAACTTTTTCTAAACGGAGTCGGCGAATATCAAAAGCCAGAAACACTAAATAGGTCCATGGAGAAAGTCTGTACGATACAGCCCTAAACATAGGAATGAAAATCCACCTGTGCTTTGCCTCTGTCAGGTGAGTGTTGTTGTACGGCAAGGACAGAGTTGTTCAAACGATGGAACAGGAATGGCGACTGAACTGTGTATCGAAGCTTTGGCTTCGACGCATAATCAGAATTAAACGGCAAGATCACGTATCGAATGACTATTTATTTCGGGCATAGGAAATCTCAGCAGGTGTGAAGATCAAAAAGGGGAAAAGAGACCAGTTACACAAACTGGTTGAGCGTAAACCATCTACTCCAGCAGGAGATCTTCCCGTGTGGCAGCCCTAACGCGGCTAACGTCGACTAAGAGGCCAGCATGCAACACAGAGGTTCAAAGTAGAGGAAAGTATGCTATCAAAGGAGTATTTTTCTGTACGACGCTGTATCCGGTGCCTTACAGCAAAGGTTGAAGGCTGCCAATACAGCATATATCACAAACCAGAATCATTCTGTATATGGAAACGGCTCATAGTCATGAACTCAACAAAGAAAAGAAAAAAGAAAGTTAGTCACTGTTACATGACAGCGCTTTTAGTGCCCTTCTTTTCATGAAGTTAATCGTAAGATGTTGATCTCCGTGATAAGTATAGCGTATATTCCGTTTTCTTCACGCTGATCGACACTCATTTATCAACCTCGGAAGAAAGAAGGACGAGGGCGTCTGATGGAGGCTTGAGCTCGGGACCTACCGGTTTCCCCACTCTACCAAGTGAGCAACTCCGGTCTGAAGCAGTGTGTGGTAAATTTATTGCTCAAAGAAATTCGTGAA